AGCATACCATTACACGATACGAGTCGATAACGCGAGAATTTCTAGTGAAATGTTTTTTTCATTCTTAACTCTCTCTCAATCCGAAACAAATATGCCGTTTAAGTGAAGTAGGAATATCTCTAAAACATATTAAAATTTGAATTGATTTGATTCAGCGGAAAAAAAGTTACAGTCGAAAAACAATTTCGGCGAAGACTTTTGACCGCTACTGTATGTAGTAGCCCTCAGTCACAGCATGGCGCCACAGCTTCCTTCGTTATTTTTCTATGCCAGCCATTTCGCACGCAAATACGTTCGTATCGTGGTAAGAAGCACAGCCATTTTTGATCCAAGGCTGCTTCAACGGGGCGAAAACAAATCACAACTGTTATCCCTAGTATTTCACTATTTCAAAACAATATATTTTGCGAGTGTGGTACTGTAAGGACTTGTAAGGAAACTTGCAAGGAAACTATGGTCAGAAGTGGGATAGAAGTGCGGAGATAAATGGCAAAGACAAATAGCAAACTAACTGAAACTGTTCGAAGAGATTCGAATAACTGCATACGGCGCTCTTTAGGTTTCAGCACTACCGAAAACCGGTACCGATAGTGATCAGAGGATTGGATCGGGGTTTCAGCGATGCTAACATATCGTTGAGCAGGATTCATACGCAGTTTTTTTTGAATGAACTTTCAGGACATCAACTGCACTACCTCTTATTCAGCTCCTCATGAAATAGTTGGCGCAGTCAGTGCCAGAAACGCATCCATTCGTCATTATAATTTTTACGAATCTCTAGCAAATTCTTCTCCCTCGAGACACGAAGGATTCATGAAGGATTCCGGGTACCCCCAGGAGGCCCGTCGCGCGACAAGAAGGCGAGTCAGCGGACGAGTTCCGCGCGTACTGTAGGGATTTCGCGTCAAGTTAAATAGAATGTTCCATTGCACGTCCTACATCGCTCACGCGCTGCGACTCGTCCGCGACTCTGCCTTCTTGCCGCGCGACGGGCCTCCTGGGGGGTACCCAAGGATTCATCGGACGGCTGGTAGTCTGGGTCCCTCATGCTCTGGATAAGCCAATAGGTAGGTCGACTATCGGACGCTTATGGAAACCCACCGGCTGACCAAATTCGTGAACTTCCCCACGCCCTTAAAGGCAAAGTTCGGGCTCAGAGACCCACTTAATGAGCCTTTACTGTGGCTAGAAGCGCTAGGTACGCAAGTGCAGAGGTCGCGTCACTTCCCTACTTCGAAAAGCGTTAGACGCTAGGCGCTAAGAACTTTGACACGCTCCACCTGTTGCGACACGCTCCGCCCACCGCTCGATATCTTGTCTGCGTCGCAATGTTGATCTGCTATGCTCTCTCTACTCGGACTTCTCTACGCTCTCCGCGCTCACATTATCTCTCATCTCCCTGCCGGCCTTTTGAACTTCTCCGCAGCGTAGAGCAAAAGGCTCGTATTTCCTGTGTATTTCACGATTTTTTTCCTTTTTTCCACTGGCGGTCCACTTCCTACCCCTACTTTCACATTTGAGTGGAATTACCTCATAATTTAATCCTGAATCTTGCCTTTAATTATGAGTAAGACATATTTTTCAGTGGCGACAAGATACCACGCATCGAATATACCGCTCAGGAAGTCGAAACCTGGCGTGTTGTCTATAACGTAAGCGGATTCTTACCATAAATCAATAATGACCTTAATTAATGTTCTTTTTATAAGATTTATTTTCCAGGAACTTGTATCCCTCTACCCGACACATGCATGTAAAGAGTTCAACTACATCTTCCCACTACTTCAACAAAACTGCGGCTTCAGAGCCGATAACATCCCGCAGCTTCAGGATGTTTCTGATTTTTTGAAAGGTTCGCCCACAAATATAACATTGGAAAATCCCTCACACAATTTTATCGCAATGAGCACAGTTGCAATGTTCAGATTGTACTGGCTTCACACTACGTCCTGTGGCAGGACTTCTTTCATCGCGTGATTTCCTTGCCGGTCTCGCATTCCGCGTCTTCCATTCCACACAGTACATACGCCATCATTCCTCGCCCAAATACACTCCGGAGCCGTAAGTGTGCAGTAAAGTCTTCA